CTATGTGAAGGTTGCTCAAGAAAAATTCAAGAAAAAAAAAAAAAGAAGTTCAAGTTTGAAGAAAAAAAGAAAGAAAAAAAAAGGGATGAGTTCAAAGTTTGTTTTATTTCACTCTAATTCTTTATTATCATATTTTTTGTGTGTGAATTTTAAGTGATGGTGGTTATGTGAGATGTTAATTTTGGTTGTTTGGTGAACTTTTGTGGAGTTAAGTTGTGATTAGAGATGATTTGGTCATTACTTGTTTTTTACCTTGGGTTTTATTAGGATATGACTCCCTTAAGCATGGCTTTGCTCTCACTTTTTCCCAAATATTTCCTACCCTTTACCCTAGCCTTACATTACAAGCTTTAAAGACCTTCCGACCTTTGTGCATATAATTGTGTAGATGTGAAAGTAGTTGTTTGACAATGCAAGGGATGATTTGATGTATTCCGAGTCGACTAATCGGGCGCGCATTTCTGGAGAGCTATGTTCAGCGAACTACTTAGCTTTAATTAGGAGTAATTATAAGTTTTTTGTATAATTACAATTTTAATGTTGTATGTTTAGTACCTCTTTTCTTAGATTTTCTCTCTCTACTTAGTTTTATTTTCTCTCTCTACAACTTCATACTTTGTTCTTGATTCAACTCCTTGTTTACGATAACTTCCGTAACAATTTCTTCTTTATTAATTTCAGTAATTTTATTTCTTTAATTCATCGTGTTTCCTTTAATTTCTTTGATTAGTTTTGATTCAATTATGTGTGAGTAGTTCTCTTTCTAGGGTTTGTGGGGATCCATAAATAATATAAAGGGGTAATTTATTATTGTTGATTATCAATGCTTGATTAATTTCCTATAGATTGATTTAATGCAATACAATTAGATTAGGCCTGGTTTAATTGTATGAGTTTAGAAATATTGATTCGAGATTCGAGAGATGAGAATTGATGTTTAGGCTTAGTGTCAATAGGCGGACTAATTTATAGATGGTTAAGTCGAGATTCGAGAGATGAGATTTAATATCGGTAGATTAACTCTGTGATTGTAATACGTAGCATAAGCCTTTTATGATCTGATTAATTGATACATTGATGATTGATTATTATGTTTTACCCTGAAATATTATTCATTGGTGAACCTATGCCCTAGGCTTTTATTTCATTGATTTCCCTCCTACTTTTATTCCTTCCCACTTTTACTCTTAGTAGTTTAGTTCCCTTTTATAATAACAATTTGGTTACTTGATAATTTAGATATATTATTAATTAGGAATAAATTGACTTGTTTTCCTGTGTTTCGACCCTTCTTCCCTATCTACATAGTTAGTGGATTTAGGTAATACTTTTGATTAGGTGATTACGACTTTAGCATGTAACACATTACTCAGATCGAGGATTGTTTTCTTTGCAAGGATATTCATAGAGAAGTTCAAAGCAAACAAGAACGCAAGAGTCTTGAAGCTATTTATGCATCCAGCCGGCAGGTTATCGAACCACTGTTGGGCTATGCCCTTCAGGGTAGCTGGGAAGCAACGACACCAAGCGGCATCATCCAACCCCTATAAATACATGAGGTTGGTGTATGCCAGAAGGTGATCTTCTAGGTTGGCGGTACCATCATAGGTGCCCACCAACACATTTTTAACCTTGGCCGACTATTTAGCCTCGACTATCTTCCTGGAGAACGCAGAGGGTTGCACTTTAAGGTTTTTCAGCCAAAGCTGCCAGTCCATATGCTGGAAACTATATGTCGCCTGTCCTCTGAAGAAGACAGGCTGAATGTAAGGCGGAGCAGGCGGCCTGTATAATGTCTAGGCCACATACTATGCCGAATTAATTACATGAGGACCCGTGTGGACAGAGGGACCGCTTGACAAAGTTCCATGTATAGATTATGAATTCCTCACTTACGTATTCTTGAAGCTATCTGAGTGAGTCGACGTGGAGGCCAACTTGGACTTCTGCTGATTCTTCTTTAGCTCAATATAAAGTCCAGCATAAGAAAAGGTCTTTTTACAACCGTCCGGCTGAACATGCCAGATAGCCTTTCTCTTTGTCGTTTCAGGGAAACGAATCTTAGAAAGATCAATCAAGGGCCGAGCCTTTTCCTTCGTTGTAGGGTGAGGAGTAGGTTGTCGGTCTTTGACTAACTTAGCTCTCTCAGTCTGAGCTGGTTTTTTGGCCGACTGTTCTTTTCTAAGAGCATCCGTATTTTTGGTGAGCAAGTCCTTAATTTCACCTAGAAACTTGCCATGAATTTCATGAGCTCGTCTCGGTGACTAGGGTTGATCCTACTGCCTGTGTCTGATCAGACGGTTGTCTTGGAGACTTGCTTGTACCTTCCTGATCATCTTTCTGCTCCCGACTGTCTTTGGGACGGATGCGTTTAGAGATGAGTGACCCATCAGGGGCCACATAGGTTTTGACTTCATATTCGTTGTCAGAGTCATGGTCCGTATGGACCTCTCCATCAACCAGAAGCCGGTTGGTCTATGGAGGCGGTACATGTTCTTGTGAAACCATCTTTGAGGTACTCTCCCCATACACGGCGCCAAATGCTTTGGGTGTTTTTGTCTCCCTTGGGAGAGTTACAGCTCGAAGACTGGATCCAATGAAACAGCCTATACCTAAAAAACAACAGAACTCCGAATGTTCGGAGGTCCGCCACCGAAGGTTAAGGCAGTACGGGTTCGGAGTAAAAATGTGAGGAAAGTAAATGTCTTCTCGGATTCCAAGATCAGGTGTTTGTCTATTTTATGAGAATGATATGTGATGTAATGATTGGAACGTGCCCTAATAAATGAGGGAATCTCCCTATTTATAGGGTCCTAGAAAGGTGTGCCCTGCCTAAGGATTTGATGACCTAGGGATGTGGGTTGCGTCGTTTTGCGGCTACCTCGGGAATTGGGCCTTGAAGGCCGCTAAATCCTGAGGGTATATCTACTTGACACTTGTCGACCCCTGAGAGGTCCATTTGGTGGCCTTCTCAGGTGACACATGGTGAGCTCTCCTTATGCCATGTGGCGAGGTAGAAATACCATCAGTGGTTTATAATTCGTGAACGGTTTACAAATTCCTTAAAAACTTATGGTCGCTCCCTACTTTCCTTGTCCCTAATCATTGTCCCTAATCGTATATGTCAATTCTCACTTTCTAAGAGTGCCAACCATATTCACAACATGCATTAACGTAGTCGTACTTCAAATGAGTCTTACACCCAACCCACCACCCTAACCATTCTACTTTCTCCACCTCGCCACCCCCACAACCCAGATCTACCAACCCCTTCCCACCACTACCTTGCCAATCTAACCCCCAAAACCATCGTAAATATTCAAAAAATATTCGAAACAATAGCAAAAAAAAAATGATACATATACCTTTATTACACCAGATAAAACCTCAAATTTGGGTTTACGAGGCAAAATTCGACCATGAATTTTTCATGGTCGAATTTGACTTAAAAACCTTTGTTTTGAACATGAATTTCAAATTTCTCTCTCCGATTTGAGCTTTCTAGGCTTCAACCATGAAAACTCTCTCCTATATCTTCTCTTTCAATGAATTTCTTATTTATGATTCATACTAAGTTTTTTTATTTAAATGTCTAGGAGAGAAGAGAGAGAAAGGGAGAACGAAGAGGAAAAAAAAGGAGGGCGCAAGAGAGAGAAAAGGAGGGGCGTAGGAGAGAGAGAAAGGGAGAAGAAGATCAAGAGAGAAAGAGGAAGGCGGATAAGAGAGAGAAAGTGAAGGAGAAAGAGAAGGGCATAGGGTTTAGATATTTTTAAAGGGTTTTTTTTAATTTTATATTTCGACAGAAATTCTATCAATAAAATCGGACAAAATATATCACCTTCGGAAATTTTAATACGGAATATTCCGTTGGAAATTTTCAACGGATTATTTGAATTCATCGAAAATATCCGACGCAATATAAATCCGTCGAAAAAAAACAAAATTTCTATGGAATTACGTGTCTGTCGGAACTAGTTCGTAGGAGATCGGTCGTTTTTTATAGTATTTGTGTTTTATATGCTTTTAATCGCATTAATTATAAAAGGGTCCGGGGTGGGTTTTGGTTTCTGCACGATGTTGAAAACACCGTATTACCCTATAGTTCAAATAAAAGAATAATTCTAAAATGTTGATAAAAGGAAGCTTCAAAACCTAAAGAACATGAAGACTAGAATAAGATTTTGTTTGAGTTAGTTTTATTGTTGTAAGTGTGTACGAGTAGTTGGCTAGATTAGCGAAATATTTCTTATTAAGGAGTAAGGTGTTGTAATAATGTTATTGAACGTTTTTGTTGATTAATTTACGATTTTGCTAATTGATAAATGAATTTTTTATATCAATGTGATGAAATGGGGCTCCCTCCATGGAAAAGATACCTCGGTAGTGATGGTGGTATTATTCATGGACATGGGGGAGAACTCCTTAAAGTATTTTATGTAAAATGTGGTACATGTACTTGCATAAAAGCCTAACTAGTAGCGATGTTAAGAGGGATGTAGGTAGCATGGAAATAATTACAACATAAGATGATGCAAGCTTCAGTGGACTCGGAGATTGTAATGAGATTGTTGATGGAAACAATTTCTCCACATTCTTCATATATATATTCACATTATTCGTACATGCGCAAAGTGATGCTTACAAAAGAGAAATAGGAAATGACTATGGGAATTGCTATAGGGGGGTTAATCGAGTGGTCGATTGGCTAGCTAATTATGACATTCATCTTAAGCACAAGTCTAAGATTTTAGAGGCGATCCCAAGGATCTTCCTGCTATTTTATTGGAGAATATATTGGGGTAGCTTGGCCGAGAATGGTGCCAACGTCTATCTTCGATTAAGCCCCTGCTAGTAGGACTTTAGTTTTATTTTTTTGTTGTAAGTTCTTGTTTTCTTTTTTTTTTCCCTTTGTTTCGCTTATGTTTTTCTCATGTTAATCGGTGCTTGCCCCTCTTTTCACCAAAAACTTAAAAATAAATAAATAAAGAAAAGATAAAGCCTTCACATTCAAAAGTTGATCATATTATGCATTATTTCAATATCTCCTATTCAAAACCATAAACCAACAATTTGAAGAGCACTAATAGATCATTTACATAAGAACTAACCCATTATAACCAAGAAACTCAACAATACTAGAAAATGAAATAAAATATGTACAAATAGGAAAAACAAAACATTTATGTAGCACCAAATTCCAAATCATGAACAAATTTGAACTCAAAATGAAGCATAAAGCTTAGGAACAAAGGAAAACCAGCGAAATCCACAGCTCCATTTATCAGGAAGATCAGGGCACTTGGGCAACCAATGCCAAGTCCTCCTTGCAACCCTGTAATACAAAATCTCTGGCCAACAGTAGCAACATATACAAATCATACCATTATGCCAAAAACAATATATATGTTCATAATTATGGTAGCAAACTGATACCAATTTCTTGTACACTAATTCAGGCAAACTTTCTACTTCAACCCATTTATTGCTATTGTTCTCAATATTACCATTTTGCCATTCCAATTCCCACAATTTCAAACACCTTGAAATTCCATTTCTACCCTCCCCACCAATCACATACAACTTCTTCCCTCTTTTGCCTTGTTCAGTTTCATCGGCAATTACAAGCCTAGCAAAAGTAAGCTCATTTGTAGGCATTTTATCGAAACAAATTCTCCAAATACCGTTCTCCAAATCGAATGAAACAATAGAGAAAGGGTAAGATATGGTAAAATACAAAAACCCATCACAGTAAACACCTTGTTGATGAATATTATCATTCAAAATCGGATCAAACCCGTCAAAAATCCTCCATGATCGGGTTTTCGAGTCATAGAGAAAGATGGATTTCGACGAGTAAATGAAAATTTTGAAACCATAGGGGCAGGAAACCAGAGTAAGAAACTCAAACGAGAAGGGTAATTTGGGGAATCTAACAAGAATAGAAGAGCGAGACAAAAGATTATAGACTAACAAAGTTGAGGATGTAGGTAGATGAAAACAGAGAAGACCATTAGAAGCAGAGAGAAGAGCTGAAGATGACGAACACGGGTTCAGTAATGAACGTGAAGCCGAGGATTCCCGCCATGTGCCGGAAACAGAATTGTAAAGTGGGAAATAGCAATTGAAATGAGGATGAGACAGCATAAGGTAAGAAGAGAAAGGTGAAGAAGAACAAGGGTAGTTTTTGGAAAGAAAAAATGGGTTTAAAAAGATGAATTTGAAGCGTTTACAAGTTGATCTGAGATTGACAATCGATTTAATAGGGAGAAAACAGAGGATGTAATCTAGGAGTTCTTCTGGTAGTCTGCTCCATATTGAGGGATCCATTGATGGAGGGTTTGAGATTTACGGCCCGTTTGGTAGATGGTAATCGAAGGGTTCGAATGGTGATTAAAAGTTCATGTACATGTTATGGGGAATTTAGTAGTAGAGGAGGTTAGGAATTTGATTATAAAAGTGGAAATTTGGAGGAGTTATGTAATCAAAAGAGAGGAAATTCAAGTATGTTTGGTGATCTGCTTGAAAATTTAGTAAGAGTTGACCTTCTAGATGAATTAATACAAGCAGGATTTGGATATGGTGATGTATGAACATGTAAAATATATTCTACTAACGCTACTTTACTGCAGTGTGGTATACGAGAGATGTGTTCATTGAATCATTTGTATACCACACCGTGCACGGAGTTTCAAGTGATTACATATGAAGTACTTTATTTGTACATCTTCTCAAAGACAACAAACTAAGTAAAGTTTGGCCTAATGATGAGAGTTAAGGGTCTGTTCTGATTTATTAAATTGAACTGAACAATTTATGAGAGAAGGAAATTAGGAATTGAACTGAATTTAGCTGAACTTAGCTGAACTAAACTGAAATTAAGCTGAAAAGAACAGATCCTAAGTGTTTTAAATCAAAGCTTGGAGGTTCAATTCCCATTAGGGGCCATTACCTTTTTGAATTTCCGGCTTACTTTCAAAATATTTACACCTATAAAGATTTTGGTTTGATAGAGTAGTTTATCTTACCTGTCTTTATAAAAATATATTAGTAAAAGTCGTAATTAAAAAATAATGGAAGCAAAAAGCATAGAATTTAAGTTGGAGTCCTTCATAATCTTTATGATTCTTCCTTGTATCGCAATTTTCATACTAATCTTGCTGGATTAGTGTACTTTTTTGCTTTCATAGAATCATATACTACCTCCGTTAACTATTATGTGCAACAAAGGGGTATTATTTGTGAGACATAAAATATTCCTTTGTTGCACATAATAATTAACGGAGGTAGTATTAATAATATGTTGTATTTTTTTCTACTGTATTTATTTTTTGGAAATAGAAGTGCATAGCTATTGAGCTAATGGTTTCGAGTTTCAAAATATAAATTTTCCTCCACTCCGTAATAATTTTTCATTAACAATTTTTTTTTTTTTTTTTTTTTTTACAAAGAGTACTATTAATGAAAAGCATGATTACAACCTAAACTAAGTAAAGAAAGCAGAATTACACGATAGACTATTGGGGGTTGGAACATATGACTTCTTACGTTTAGGAAACCAAGTGAACTCGGTGGGACATGATGCTATTAGTTTAGAGCCACTTAACCTGCAAAACAAAGAGTTAGTAAAACATGTTGGAGACCTATTCTGCAAAGTGGCATATTTCCTTCTAAACCTGGGACGGGAAGACGAGACAGAACCCAACAATATTTCAGAGGAGGAAGTGCTTGGGTGAACGGGAGTCTGCAGAGGGGAAGAAACAGGCGAAGCTGGTAGGAGTATCGACGCAGCTTCACATGATGACTCGTGACCTGCCATACATGTGGATAGATCTTCTTGCATCAAATTTGGAGCTGTTTTACACCTATCATGCCCTTTCACAGGGGGTGACTAAACTCCATTGGTGGAGAAACTTTTTGAGTTCCACCACTATCCATCTTTTTTTAAGGATTGGCTACTCGGATGGTAATGAAATTCTTTTGGCGAGAACAAAAGTATTGTACTGTTCGCCCCTTGGAAATCGCTCCATACATTGTTGGAGTGAGACGCAAATAGGAATCATTTCGCTTTCGGCTTGAGAACCGAAAACTTGACCCTGTCAGATTTGGGTTTTTTGTTTTTGAAATGCCCTTCAAAACATAATTGTTATCAATAACGTTGGGCCTAAAATCCTGGTTGGTAGGGTTGACTTTACCCTTCAAATCCAAAGAATTGCCACTAACGTCCTTTTCCATTTTGGTGTCGTCTTTCACACCTGAACACCTTGACCATCTTCACGACCATATCCTTCCTTCTGTTTCCCTTTTTGTTTCGGGGGTTTTTGTCCCTCAGGAGAGTTACAACACTGAAACTGGATTCAACTGAGGATGCCTGTACCTGCAAAGCAAACGGACCGTCGGATGGTCGGTGGTCCGCCTCCGAAGATTAAGTCAGTAAATGTTTGGAGATAAAACGTGCGGAAGTAAAGTTATCTGCTTGGATTCCAAGCTCAGGTAAAGTGTTGTGTGTTCCTTGAAAACGACAGCTCTGTGGTAAGTGACATATTGTCTCGTATTGCGTGTGCAAAATTCTCTCTCTATCATAAATGACATAATGTCCCTATTTATAGGGTCCTTTTGAAAAGTGTGCCTTCCTAGGATCTGGTGACCTAGTAATTAGGTCACGCCGTTTTGCGGTGCCTCGGGATTTGGGCCATAAAAGGCCGCCATCCCAGGGCCAATGCCTGAGTGACACATGTCACTGTGCCCAATGGATTTTGAAGCACTTTTTGTGTGACACGTGTCGCCACCTGAATGGTCCCTGTTGGACCTTCAGTTCACGTAGGACGGAGAAGAGTCCACCCTCCACGTGTCATCATTCCATAGGTCCAAATGGCACCTATATGGAGGACACGTGGCACTTTCTGATTGGGCCATCTGGCCGGGTATAAAATACCCAAATCATTTGCCCCTCACAGAGGTCACGTGCATTGCACGTGACTCCTGTGACAGGTGTCAGTATCTGAGTGGTCAGATTCGAAAATTTATTGGAGGGAAAAAATTAGGGTTTTACCCTCCTATAAATAGTGAGGTTTGACCCCCCCTCTTGGATTCACACCTTGGCGAATCTCTGGAGAATCTTGGACTTTTTAACTTAAAGAATCTCAAAATTCCCTAAGCGTTTTTCAAGCATCCGACACTCGGCTACCAGTTCGACTGTTCTTTAGTCAACCAGGCGTCTTTCTCCCTTTTTCTAAAGGTAACACCTGTATTTTCTTTTTACTATTCATTTTTTCTTTGTTTTCGAAAAAATGGCTCCCCAATTGCATGCGGCACGGCATAGGATAGTGATCAGCCGGTCACCGGGGACGGCTGAATCTAGAAATAGCAGTGCCGAATGCTTCGCCAAAGACCCTGCTTTGCGAACTTCTCCGAATCCGACCGTTTCCGTGTCTGTGCAGGACACTATGGCCAGAATCAAAAGAACAGCAAAGTAGTGTAGCTTCGATGGAGTTTACTACCATTCGGATGGGTCGACTGTTTTTTCAGACGGCTCAATAAGAGTGCCTCGAAGTGAGCTGTCGGAACACCTTGACAGCCCTTCCTATCTTCCTCCTACCCCCACTTATTACCATTCGCCCACATCTAGTGGAACTCCCAGTGATGGAATCCTGGGGGAGGCGGATGAAGAATATCAACCCGGGCCTTCTGGACAGGCGCCGGAAGAGAGTCTAGGGGAGGACCCCGCTGGCACTAGTCGGCGGTCCCCTAACTCTGATGAGAGCTCTGATGACGAGTCGGCCTCGTCATCTTCTTCAGAGAATGCCTCCGTAACTTCAGAGGAGGCTAGATCAAACATAGATTCTGCCAGAGAGTCCCTGGCAGTGGATAGGGGGGAAAGCTGGGCCGAGCAGAGTGCTTCCAGGCGCTTGGAGAGAGCCCCCTACTATCAGCATGTTCCGCCAGGCAGGCGGAGCGCCATGGCGTCCGGCCTTGCCAATTTTAGGCGCAAGGTCGTCCTAGGCTATGGCTACACTTTGTCGTTCCCTAACGAGGGCGACACCATAACCTGGCCGAGCCTGGCCAGCTATCAAGACAAAGCATTCGGCTGCTATGAAGCGGCCTTCCAAGCTGGCCTCCGCTTCCCTCTCCATCCGGCCGTGGAGAGGATTTTGGACGGATACCAACTGGGAATCTAGAAACTTGTACCCAACTCCTGGATCAATATTCTGGGGTACGTTGCCGCCTGTGAGATGATGCAGGTGAAGGAGAGCTTTGAAGCGTTCGCCCACATGCACTATCTGAGCAGGGCGCCTGCTAGGGGCGGTGAAGGCTGGTACACCTTGACCACTTGCAAGGGGTACATGATGGCTGTTGGCAAAGAGAACAAGTGGAAAGACTGGAGGACTAAGTTTTACATAGTCAAGTCTGCCGATAGCCGCCTGAACCAAAAGTATAACAGGTGGAATAAGGATCCACCTCTCCTAGCACGCAGGAGCGCATTTCCGCCTATTCCCAGGCGGGCAAAGGAGGAGATCATGGACGCGGGGTTGTTTACCGTGTCCGTGTGGACGAATGATGAGGGGGACAAGGAGGTCACCCCTCAATTCTATCTCCCTTTGTACAACTGGTTTGAAGAAGGGACATTCTTAGCCGCCAGTGGGCTAAGTTCTGAGATGCCGAGAGGTAGTCGGCCGTCTATTTTTTATGCAATTTACTTCTGCTTTTCAGTACTTGTTTAATGATGCTAATCACTTGTTCATTTTTGCAGACAAAGCAATGGAAAAGCTCTCGGCCACAAGGAAGTCGGCTGTATCTGCTGCTCGATACAGGTCGAATGTCTTAAACAGGGCAGAAGTAACCACTCACACCAAAGTGGACGAGCAGAAAACTGGCGGCACCTCCAAGGTAGAAAATTGTTATACTTTCATTTCTGATCAATATTAAATTTGCCCGAATGATTTCTAACTTACGTTTATCTTGTGTTGATGTAGGGTGCGCCTTCCAAATCTCCTTCAAAACCATCCGACCCTAAAATCCAAAAGACTAGGGCGGGTGATGTGAGCGCATCCGGCAAGGGCGGCCCGAAGAACATTTCTCACAGGCCCAAGAAGGGCCCAGACGCCTCTTCTCTCGATGCTGAAAAGGAGATCAGCAAACCGGATGCCCAGAGGGCATTGAAGGGTGGCTTTAAGTAACCCACCACTGCTGTCGGCTTAGCAGGAGAGAAGAGGAGCCTAGGGAGAGAGGAGGAACAGAAGGACGACGGTAAAATCCATTCGCCCCTATTGTTCTTCAATTTAGATGTACTTGAGTTATTTTTCTAACTTTCTCTCCTTCTCAGTTCCTGTGCAGAGGCCGACTGTAGTCCAGATGGCCAAGTCCATGCTGAGGGCGGTTGATCCTGACGACAAGGCGTCTGTCAGAGGAGTCGGCACCCTTGACTTGGATGGCATCTTGGGGAACCTCTGCGAGGTATGAGTCTTAGCTCAAGAAAAAAAATTTATTAAGCATTATTTCTTTTTCCGCCTGGTTTTAACCATTCGGCTCTTCTGCAGGCCATGTTGCGCGTCCAAGGGCTCAGGCAACCCCTCAAGGAGAAATCCAAATAGGTAACAGTCGCTAAAGCTCGGGCCGAGTCCGCCTTGGATCGAGCTCAATTTGATATTGCTCAGAATGAGTATCTGAT